AAGATGGCCTCCAAGACGGCCCAGGACCCAAGAGGGCCCCCAGAGGCCCCAAGAAGCCCCAAGAGGGCCCCAAGACGGCCCAGGAGGCCCTCCAATATGGCCTCCGGAAGGGCCCAAGAAGGCCCCAGACGGGAGCCCCAAGAGGGGAGCCCAAGCTTCCATAGGTCGGGCCAGGCCCTCCGCCCGAAGAGAACCCCCCGAGACCGCCAGCAGGTCCCTTCGAGGCACCCCAGGCCTCGGAAAGAAAAATAGCCGGCACTCACGCCACAGTCATCGGTCAACGCCTCCCCCTCCCCCCCATAATCAAAATTGGCGGGGGGTCTGATGAATGGCACTTCGACCGCAGCCTCCTCCGCGAGTGCCAACTCTAAATTTTTGGGGAAGGGGGAGTGTCCATTGATTGGTTTCCCTCTACCGCCAGGAAGCCCTCGGAGGCCCCCAAGAGGCCCCAAAGAGGCCCCCCGGAGAGGCCGCAAGACGCCCTAAACCCGCCTCCAAGCGGCTTCGACCGATGCCTCCCAAGAGATCCCCGGAGGCATCCAAGAGTCCTCTGACATATAATCGAAGCGCTGTGACGGGATGGGCCGAAGGCCACTGTAGAGGGGCCATGGGAGACACATGATTCTGGAGATCGAAGCTCAGATGTGTCTGTGTGCAGTAGGGGCCCGACCGCAGGAAACCTGTCCACAAGAAACCCAACCCTGAGACCCCAGGACGTCCATCGATTTGTGCGGAAACGTCACTCTTTCCATCGCAAAACCATCGAAGCCCAAGAAACCCAGGGCACCCTGGAGGCGCAAGCAGGGTGTTTCTTGGCATGGGCTGCATTTTTCAAGGGAACGAAGAATGACATAAAGATAAAAACTCGGAGGTCCGCGCGGATTTCTCGGATCGGCGCTGGACCGCCCTGGTGGTCCCTCCAGCGCCGCCCCTGGCGCGCTCCGCGCGCCGGGGAGGGGGGTCCAGCGCCGATCCGAGAAAGCCACGCGGACCTCCGACTTGTTATGTTCATGTCATTCTTCGTTCCCCTAAAAAAGGGCTACCCACTGCATGCTGCCTACCCTCCTGACGCACTACGGCAGGTGGATCCTTTGCAGAACGTGGTCTCGCCTCCACGGCAGGCCCGCGGGACGGTTCGTCTGTCGTGGGAGGGGGGACTCCCACAGCAGAGGGGACTTCCTGCGTGGACTTCCCAGGCGACCTAGCATGGGAGGCGGTCCTGCAGCTGCACTGATGCATCCTGGGTTTGCCCTGGTCCTGGCTCCTCCTCCTCCTCCGCCTCCTCCTCCTCCGCCTCATCCTCCTCCGCCTCCGCCTCCGCCTCCTCCGCCTCCGCCTCCTCCTCCTCCTCCTCCTCCTCCTCCTCCGCCTCCGCCTCCGCCTCCTCTCCTCCTCCTCCTACTCCTCCGCCTCCGCCTCCGCCTCCGCCTCCTCCTCCTCCTCCTCCTCCTCCTCCTCCTCCTCCTCCTACTCCGCCTCCTTCCCGTTTCCCATAGGCATCCCGACGGCGTGAGCCAAGATGTTGGCCGTTCGATCGAGAGCCGCCTCTCCGACGAAACCCGACTGTCCAGCGTGCCTGCGGCGAGCGGGCGCGCTTTGGCCCGCCACCTGCACTCCAGTGCCGCAGCCCACCTGGCAGAGGTTTCTGCATGGGGCCGCCTCGTGGACGTCTGACTACCTGCCAGACCACCCCAACAACCCGATGACACGAGTTTCGGTCTGGGGGGTACGGGTTTCTTCTCCGACCCCCTCCACTGGGAATAGAGGGCAAGTCAGGGCCTTCGGGTTGGGTTGGGGTGGTTTGATGGGTGGTGAACGTCTGAGTCCTGAGTCTGTGCGTCTCGGGGCAACAAAACGCCATAAGCATAAACTTTCCGAGGCCCGCGCGGGTTTCTTAGATCTGCGCTGGACCCGCTTCCATGGCGCGTAGAGTGCGTCGGGGGTGACGCCAAAACTCCGCGAAGAACTGCGAGAGTTCATGCTTTTGCGGTTTTTGTTCCTGGCGTCCCGGATCCTTTTCCTGCTCCTGCTCATGCTCCTACCACTCCTCCTCCTCCTCCTCATCCTCCTCCTCTGCCGATGTTTCCCTCCTCCTCCTCCTCCTCCTCCTCCTCATGCTTCTCCTCCTCCTCCTCCTCCTCCTCCTCCTCCTCCTCCTCCTCCTCCTCTGCTTCCGCCTCCGCCTCTGCCTCCTCCTCCTCCTCCTCCTCATATTCCTCCTCCTCCTCCTCCGCCTCCTCCTCCTCTTCTTCCTCCTACTCCGCACGCGAGACGTGCCAGTAAGGCGGGACGGGCGGTTCCCCTGCGACTTCTTCACCGCGCATTGCCGTGAAACTTGAAATTCACACCAGCCTCACGGATGGAGGGCGGCTCTTTAGCGCCGCGCCCATTCGTCCAACCACCATTAAATAACCTAGCGGATGGAGGGCGGGTCGTTTTCAGCACGTGGTTCTCGCCTTATCGATGCGAACATGCGTGGTAAACGTGTGCATGAGTTTCATGGGTCGGAGGCGGTTCCTTTTCGGATGTGGTTGTCGCCCTGGCGCCCGCGCACATTCGCCTGAAATTGTCATGTGACGTACCCAACCGAAGAGGAGTGGGCCCAAACTTGTGCGGAAAACGGCAGCGCATGCGCCGTTATACGGTGTGCAAGCTACATGGGATGTGTTCACGTGGCACGATTCACGGGACATCCACGGGAGGACGAGGCGCGAGGGCCCAGGCTTGAGGGACCGAAGGGCAAGAAGAAAACGGGCGGGGGGCGACCCGTCGCCGCGGCAGCAGCAAAGGGAGGGTGGCGATGGGCAAAGGACGACGACGAAATTGACGGGATGAGACCGAGGAGTGTTGCTCTGCCGGCAGTGCGCTAAGATGCAGCGCTGGCTGCGCCATGTCGCCGCGGCGATCGACTAAATGATGAAACCTGCTATCGCAGTGCAGGAGGCGAGCGGGACCCAGCTCGCGCAACGAGTTCCCTGCTTCCTTCCTGCACTCTTCAGTGCGGGAGCTAAACGCTCGAAGGCGCGCCGCCGGGTCTGCAGGGCGGCCCGCGACAGCGCCCCGCTGGACCCCCAGCAGCCCCCCAAAGTGGCATCGCAGTCCCCCAGGGATGGCGAGGTCGGACTTGAACTCGCGTAGGACGTCACCCCGCTGGACCCTCCAGCAGCCATCGAAAATGGCGACAACTTCGCAAATCGCACCCCCCCCAGAAATGGCGAGGTCGAATTTGAATCCGCGTAGGACGTCTCTCCGCTGGACCCCCCAGCAGCCATCGAACGCGGCGAGAGTGTCGCAGATCGCAGCCCCCCCAGGATGGCGAGGTATCATTTGAGTCCGTGTAAGATGTCTTTCCGATGGACCCCCGAGCGGCAATCGAAAGTGGCGACAGTCTCGCAGATCCAGGTAAAATCTGAATCTGGGTAGGACGTCACTCCGCTGGACCCTCCGACAGTTTCGCAGATCGCAGCCCCCCATGGATGACGAGGTCGAATCTGAATCTGCGTAGGACGTCACCCGCTGGACCCCCCAACAGCCCTCGAATGTGGCGACAATCTCGCAGATCGCAGCCCCCCAAGGATGACGAGGTCTAATCTGAAAATGCGTGGGACTCCACTCCGCTGGCCCCCCCCCCAGCAGCCCTCAAAGGTGGCGACGGTTTCGCAGACCGCAACCGCCCAGGGATGGCGAGGTCTGATCCGAATCGGCGTAGGACGTCACTCCGATGGACCCACAAGCAGCCTTCGAAAGTGGCGACGGTTTCGCAGATCGCAGCTCCCCCAAGGATAGCAGGGTCTAATATGACTCTGGGTGGTGCCTCACTCCGCTGGACCCACCAGCAGCCCCCAGAAATGGTGACAGTTTCGCGGACCGCAGCCCCCCAGGGATGGCGAGGTCTAATCTGAGTCAGGGTGGTGCCTCTCTCCGCTGAACCCCCAGCATCCCTGGAAAATGGCGACGCTTTCGCAGATCGCAAACCCCCAAGGATAGCGAGGTCTAATCTGAATCTGGGTGGTGCCTGACTCCGCTGGACCCCAATCAGCCCTCGAAAGTGGCGACAGTTTCGCAGATCGCAGCCCCCCAAGGATGGCGAGGTGACATAGGACGGCGAGGCGAGGCGGTAAAAAGCAAGAGAGCAGAGGAGGAGGGAGGAGAGGAGGAGAGGAGGAGAGGGCGGGAGAGGACGGAGACCGCAGTGATTTATTCAAAATAAGAACTCAACGCAGAAGAGTTGGGAAACATTGCAGGAGCTTCACACATGTTTTTCTCGAAATGTGGCTCTCGCCTTAGCGCCGCGCACATTGTGCAACAATACCACGGATGGAAAACGGCTCCTTTTTCCATATGTGGTTCTCGCTTCAGAGCCGCGCACATTCGCCTGAGCAGTTCGCAACAGCTTAAATAATCTTAAATATTCGTCGGGTGGAAGTCCCAGGTACGGCGTACTGTCACTGTTTAGGACGGTCAGGACGAAACAGTAAGCTTGATTCCGGGTGTTGAAGACCCAGGAATGGTGTTCTGGCAAGGCTCACGATCGTCAGGGCGCAACAATAACGTTGATTCGTGGCGCTGACGTCCCCCATAACTGTGTTTTGGCACGCTTCAGGATTTTCCAGCCGGCTGTCTTCCAACGGGGCAACTCCCTCAATAAGAACAAACCCTTGCGGGGACCTATGAAAGGGGGAATTCGGGGAAAGTGTAATGCAAAATCGTTGATGCACCTTGGGTTTACACGGGTCCTCCTCCTCCTCCTCCTCCCCCTCCCCCTCCCCCTCTCCTCCCCCTCTCCTCCTCCTCCTCCTCCTCCTCCTCCTCATCATCTTCCTCCTCCTCCTCCTCCTCCTCCTCCTCCTCCTCCTCCTCCTCCTCCTCCTCCTCCTCCTCCCCCTCCTCTCCCTCCCCCCCGTCCTCCTCCTCCTCCTCCTCCTCCTCCTCCTCCTCCTCCTCCTCCTTTGCCGATGACTCCCCCCTCCCCGTCCTCCTCGAGGAAGCCGCGCCCGCGCCTGCGCCTCCAGCTTCTTCAGCAACCTGTCGTCCGCGACCAACTGCGCAGGCGAGTGGAGCGGGGGGCGGCGGCGCTGGCTCGGCCGAAGACCCAGAGGAGGCAGGAGGACGGAACGCGGAGAAGGAAGGGCAGGAAGGAGGAAGAAGGAGGAGGAGGAGGAGGAGAGAGGAATGAGAGAGGAAGGAGTAAAGGAGGAGGCGGAGGCAGAGCGTGAGGGAGGAGTCCAGGTCGAAGCCCATTTCCCCTGCCTCCCCTGCCTGGCGGGCCTCCTCGACAGGAGGAGGAGGAGGAGGAGGAGGAGGAGGAGGAGGAAGAGGAGGGTGAGGAGGAGAAGGAGGAGTGCGGGAGGGAGGGAGAAGGTGGAGGAATAGAAGAGGGGGGAGAGGGAGGAGGCGAAATGGGAGGAGGAGGAGGAGGAGGAGGAGGAGGAGGAGGAGGAGGAGGAAGGGCAGGAAGGAGGAAGAAGGAGGAGGAGGAGGTGAAGAGGAGCTCCCTGTGTGGTCTACGGAGCCGGCGTTTCACGCCACTCCTCCCGAACCCCTTGGGCGATGCGACGGCGTGGGAGGGCCAGCGGAGATGGCTTACCGCTCCTCGACGAGGCTCCGAAAACCGCCTCAGGGAACCACCAGCTGATCGAGGGGAGAGGCCAGCCCAACGACGAAGAAGAGCATCCCGCCCAGCTAGGGGACCCAACCATGACGTAAACATGACAAACGCGCGGACCTCCGACATTGTTTTCATGTTTACCTAAGGCAACTATCTTCGCGCTTCGCGCTCCGGAGGCTCAGAGGCCATCAACTAAACAGACGACAGGGGCCAGGCGAAGCTCAGCCAAGCCAGGGAAGCAGGTGAGGGTCTTTGATGGCTCAACTCCACGTGACAGGCAACAACAGCAGCATCGCGGTCGCGGGCCGCAGCCGCCCAGGCTTGCAGGGCAGACGACTTGAATAGAAAAAACAAAAACACATAAACATAAATGTTTGGCGCTTCGCGGGGATTTCTTGCGCGTCAGGGCCGCCATCTCTGGCGCGCGGAGCGCGCCAGGGCCGCGCTGGACCCCCTCCCTGGCGCGCTCCGCGCGCCAGGGGCGGCGCCAGAGGCGCCGCCGCGGGGGGGCCCAGCGCAGATCCAAAAGAAATCCGCGCGGAGCGCCAAAAGTTTTTGTGTATGTGCTTTATTCTTCTTCGATTGAATGAAGCGGAGGGGCCTGAAGAAAAATGGCTCACACTCTCCTGCTGACTATCCTGGGTCGGCCCACCGCCTCGTCGGCACCTCCAGGCCCGCGCGCGGAAAAGAAGCGCACAGCAGCACTCCAGGGAGCAGCGCGCGAACTGGGCAAAAAAAAAAACGCGCTGCCACCTGAACGTACACTGAGATAGAAGCGGCTGTTTGCGCACGCGCTGCGTTGTAAACCTCCGTGTGCGATCCGCCAGCGCGCCCCCTGGCACGCTGAAGCGCGGTAGACTGCCAAGTGCTGCCTGGCAAAGTGTCTGTCATCTTCTCCCCCCCCCCACCTCCCTGTAGAGAAATGCCGCATACACCGCCCTCCCTTCCCGAGGCCACGATCCCTCGTACAGAAAAAATGTCCGCGCTGTCGGGGTCACGACTCCTCGCAAAAGCTGTGGGCCCGCCCTGTCGAGCTGCCGAGATGGCCGAGGCAAACAACCAAGGCCGCCAAGATGGCCCGAGATGCCTCCAAGACGGCCCCAAACAGCCGAGGCAAGCCACCAAGGCCGCCACAATTGCCCAAGATGCCTCCAATGACGACCCGAGACAGCCCCTCATACGGCCCAGTGTAGCCTCAAGAAGTCCCAAGAGATCCTCCAAACCGCGACCAGAATCCTGAGGTTCCTAAAGTTTGTTCTTCTGACTTGCTTTGTTGTTTGGTGGTGTGTTGCGTGGCGTCCTGTTCTGCGAATTTCTGCTACACTAATGAATGCCCTTCTCTTTCGACATCGTCAAGCTGCACAACAAGGATTTTCTGTGCAATCCAAACCATAAAAATCATGTGGCGAATTGTGCAGAAAAGCGGATCCGAATGGAAACCCTCGCAAGCCAATTGTATGTGTAACCCGCAAAACAATATTCAATGTAAAAAAACCCTCCCCGAACAGAATCCGAGATTAAACCCGCACATTGCATGCGTAATGCAATTACAAAGAATCGTATTGCAAACCAACACCGAAAAATTTTGTGGAACCCGCACACGAGAGATCAACACGTAAATCCTCCACACGAGGAGCTCGATGGTAAAGGCACAAAACAGGCTTCTTCTTTTTGTTGAACAAAATGCGCACAACATGACATAAGTTGTGAATCTCCCACAACAGGACCCCTCGCGTAAAGCACCACAAAGCGATTTCATGTGTGACCCACACACACATTCAAAATCAATGTGGAAATCTCGCATAGCAGAATCTCTATTGAAGGCAGCCGATCCATACATACTATAAGGGGGAATGCAGCTACACAACAAAAAACATGGACAGGCGTTCAGCGTTGGGGGTTTCGTGTCTGCGCCCCCGCCCCGCCCCACCCCACAAAAACCCTACAACAAAACATAAACAATTTTGTTGCCCCCCCACCACTCCAAATGTTTTCCGGTTTCCTTGTCAAGAGGAATCCCTTTACGGGGAATCTACATGTTGATTACTACTACTGTGGATTCCGAACAACATTCTTCTGTGTGGCTGTACAATCGGATTCTTTGTTTGGAGGATTTCCAAGTCAACTTCTTGAGCGGATTGCAGAAAGGATCCCTGTGTGCGGTTTTACCATGGCACTTTGTGGACGCTTTACACACTGATTCCCCGTGTGCGGAATAAGCAAGACCGTTTTGTCAGGTTTGCAATTGGCCCCCGTATGTGGAGGATTTACAAGTTAGTTCCGGCGTCGCTGATTTATATGGGCATCATTCTATTCGTTTTTACACTCGGATTCCTCTGAAACGGGATTACAACCTGATCCTAATTATGTAGATGATAGATCAAATCCTTTTCGCGCGGTTGTTTCTTCCCCCGCAATAAACGGCGGCAGCATCAGGAGAAGGGAGAAGTCCGCAGCCTCTCGTGGGGGCTTTCCCGCGCCACTAGCACCCGCGAAAGCCGACCTGACACTTTACCGCACGTGCCAGCACCGTAGACTGGACCCGTGCGAAAAGCCACAACATAAGCGGAAATTGTACTGCAAATGCTTGGTCGGTGCGTGCATACAACTCACGTTACAAAACGTCGCTGTTTCAGAAGCCGGGGTAAGAGAGGGAGGAGGAGGAGGAGGAGGAGGAGGCGGAGGAGAAAGAGGAGGAGAAAAGCGAGAAGAGAGAACAAACGAGAGGGACATGATACGACAGATTCCCGCATTCGTAACAACAGCTGGGTCAACGTTCTGTTCCGCATAACCAGCAAAGGATATCATCCGCAGTCTGAGACAGCGGCCAGCGGCAACGGTGTGCTCATACTAAGAGACAGTGCCACCTCGAGAAAATATGCCAAACTGAGGGACGACGGCGGACGACCAGAAGAGGAACAGCGGAAGCATTAGCTCTGTCTAAGAGCTGCAGCTAGGGACGCAAGGCCGGCGTGTGCCGCGCAGGCCTCGCGCGTAACCTGTGCCATAACCTCCGCGGCGTTACTGGTACGCCCGCGTGGCGCGGCGTTCGCAGTCGCGTAGACGGCGCATGATGCAAAGGCACATCGTGCCACCTCGCTGGATGCACGTTCGGAGAAGGAGCGGGAGAGGAGGAAAGAAAGTCGCGCCGCGGGCGGAGCCTGCATCAGGCCAAAGCGCCGTCTGCTGAATTCGGCGACTTTGGGACACAAGCAATAGTGGTGGAAACTATCATCCCCAGCGCCGCAGCCAAATGCAAATGGCCTCGGCGTTGCACGCGGCGGCGGGTCGCCTGCCCATCAGTGCAGAGGGCACTAAATGCACAGGACCAAACCCGGGGCGGCACTAGCCGCCCCAGCCCGCGCAGCATAGCGACAGCCCTCTCCACCCGAAGACCAGGGAGAATGTGGAGGGATGCCAATCTAGGCAAAAGCGGAGGTGAGGCAGAGCGAATGCTAAGCATGAAGCCCGGAAAACCGACGCGCACTGTTTTTGCCAACGCTCCCGGGGAGTCGGCTCACGGGAACCTCCTTGAAGGAGTTCAAAGACCGTCGCACCAGAAGTGCGGACTTTCGCCTGCAACTGGTCGTACGGGCTGGAGGTTCGCCAAGAAATTGTGTTTGCACCACGTGTTCCAGGTAGCCTTCCAGAGGATGCTGTCTGGCTCTATCAAGATGCCGCGCACAGCACCGGATGGAAAGCCCCCCCGCGCGCATGATTTTCCCAAAGGTGTACTCTGCACTTCGCCAGTGGAGGTGCTGTGGGCGTCGGCCAGCTCCGTGGCGAAGCCGAGGGATTGCAATTCCATGAGCACGGCAGGGTAGCCCAACCGCGCGGCCCAGAAAAAAGTACAACACAAGCTCGCGATTCAACAGAATCCCGCATGTTTGGCAACCGGTCGAATTTCAAGAGGAAGATAACGACGGGGAACATGTACGTGCGGTGCCCAGGAGAGTCAGGAAAGAGCCGCATCCGACCGGCCTCCATAGCTGGACGCGGGAAAGAAACTGATCCAGAGGTTTGGGCCAAACCCGATCAGCCCGCTCTGGCCCCACGTGGAATCCCGTGTAGGAGGCGTGGCACCAGATGGTGACGTCGATCCATGCGGGGGCGTGGGTCTGGAGTTGCGCTCTGCCCACCTGCTCTGGTTCCAAAGAGAGCGGGCACCACACTGCGTTCCCGTGGTGAAGCCAAAGACCCGAAATCCTTTCGTATTCTTCGAACAACTGCTCCAATACTGGGGCGTCCGACCCCGCGGGCCAAGACGACGGCGACCACAGAAGCACTCTCCATTCCGAAATAAAGAGGGGGGTCTGATCGGGGGGGGTCTGATTTGGGCTGTCTTGGAGACTGGGGGGCGGGTCTGATTTTTATGTAGAGGGGCGCCAGGCCGGGGGGTGGTCTCCGCGAACTTGTCTGGAGCTTCGGGGGGGGGTCTGC